AAAGATGTGGTCTTCACGGGCCCTCTAGATCAGTAGGCTCACCAAGGTCTTCACCAAGCTCCTCACCGCAGAGCCTACTCTGGTGCCTTCTCAGGGAACCTTCATTGGTGCCAAGTATTTTATCGAGTTTCCCTAGCTCGGACCCCCTAGAATGGATGATGGGGGTGTTGGGGACTAGGAGATTGCCAGTGTAGCTTGGGAGAGATGGAAAAGGGAGCCGAAGGCAGCGGTGACCTTGAGCTCGGCCTCTTCCATCCTCCTCATTGCCTTGGCTTCCCTAGATTTGTTCAACTCAATGGTGAGGGCTTCAGCCTTGCGGATCAGGTCGATAATGTGCCTGGTTTGGTTGTTGACCATCATTTCCTCTTGTTAAATGTGGGCATCTTTTTAGGTCAGCTTGGCTCGGGCCTTATCAACCCTGCTCCTATATGCCCGGAAGCGGTCAATGATGACCCCCATCTGTTGACAGGCCTGAAAGAGGAACAAAAGTCAAAAAAGACAAAGTGATCCAAATGAATTCAAGACAAAAAGAAACTCGACTTACTTACCACCAAGTTGTGTTGAATCACCCCTTGGAGAAGTTGATTGTCCCCGTAATACTCCATGACTGCTAGAGCGACGTCAGGAAAGTGAATTATAAAGCTGAACTCCATGACAGTATGGCCCCTCCTAGTAATAGCTCGAGCGGCCCACTCGACAGAAGCAAGGGGTGCCAAAGTGTCATGGTGTTGCTTAACTAGGTGCTCGGTGAAGGGATCGGGCTCCTGACTATGGTAATCCCTCTGCCACTTGTCAACTTGGTTCGAGGGAATGTCTTGGCACTGGTGTTAGTACTGGTCCCTCTGGGGGACCACTGGATCTTGAATTTGCTGATGTTGCCGTTGTTGTTGTAGTGGTGGTGGTGGTTGTCAGCGTGGTGGGGGAGACGGAGGCACGACGATCAACGCAGTGTAAGAAGGCTCGCCCATTCACGAGAGCCTCGCTCTCCTTATAGCGAAAATGGCTTCCAGGCTCTCCACTATAATTGGAGGAATGTTAAACATCTCGTTTGGAGGGGGTGTCGATTCAGAGTCTCGGTCAGGACCAACTTCAAGTCCTTCTTGTTCTTCCTCTTTTTCCTTGGAAGAATTGTCTGCCCAGATGGAGGGAATGAACGGTGGAGGGATCTGTGAAAATCGAGTGTAGCCGGGTAAAACGTAGGCCACCCAAGCAAATGGATCAGTAGGGTTATGGGACCAAACCTTGATCAACTCCTGAAAAGCTACTTCAGACTTCAAGGGCTGGGCGGCGTCTGCCTTGTATCCCTCTGCAAAGAAGAAGTAACATTGAGGTCAGAAACAAGAATAAACGCTGAAGGGTGACAAAGTTAGTGCAATGCCCACCTGGACCCCTCGACATTTTGGGGCAGAAAAGACCATCATACTCGGGCCCATCGCCTTTCTCCCATCTATCGCCGAGTGCTTCAACTTTAATATTGTAAATCCAAGCACAAGTTGAGTGAAGTAATATAATTCTCAAAAGACTGTGGTCGAACTCTCAAGGAATTGTAACAAGAAAACAATTACACAAATACTTAAACAAACTTAAAAATAAATGATTTGTTTAGGTAATTGTTGAACAAAGAAAGTTGATTTAAATAATTAAAAAAGTAATAAAAATACTAGAGCATCAGATACTCCCTCTCAATTCCATATAATAATGATTAAAGACTCAAATCTTAACTTGAGACAAGAATCAAATGTCAGTTGATTCGAGTAACAAATCAAGTAAGAAAACCAAAAGTAATAATCAAAAAATTATTCAGGAACCTAAATAATCATCTAATTATATTATTTTATGAAATAATGATAATTACCTCAAGTGTGGAATAATCAGTTCTTTACTCGCAAGGAACTTCAAACAATCGATGTATATGACACAACGACTCAATGATTTGTACAGAATAAAAATTTTGCTAAAAAATTAGAAGTTAAATTAACAAAATATTATAAATCATTAAAATTAGAATCAATAACATTACCGTACTTCATTGAGAGATTCTCCCCTAGCTCTAACGAAGCCTTCTAGCCAGACATGACGAACTAAAATAAAAAATAAAAAGATGGGAAAAAGAATAATAATAGTCTCTAAATGAGAACTCCTATTTATACTAAAAATAAATTCTAAATATAGGTAGAAGATATAAAGTTGTCTTGGAAGAAATTCCTTTCCCAAAAAAAAGTCTTGTAAGGTTAAATCTAGTGTATAAAATCTTTGGGACGCGAGTACAAAATCTGTCTAGATTTCAAGATTCAATTTCGCATATTTAGAGGTTGAATCACGAAAATTTTGTGAAATACACTTTTGTAGTCCTTGAAGTCTTCTTTTTAACCCTCAAAAATAAAATAAATCGGATATCAGAGTCAAAAGTTATGACTAAAATACTTAAGACGTATCAAATCTTTATCTTCTAGGATACTTTCCTAATCCAACTCTAAATGAGTTTTCTTTCAACTTGGACTCTTATAAGAATTAAATTGTTGTCATATCCTCAAGTCTTCCTATTTCTATCTTGACTGTTCAATATTTAGCAATTATGATTCTTCCTCTAATGATTGATTCACTTGCTTTATCCATTATTACTTTAAATCAACCAATTTACCAGTAAAATAAACCAAACAATTAGAAAAAGTATCAAACTAGAAAATCAAGAAATTTAACATATTTAATCACAAATAAATTATAATTAACCAATCATTAAATCACCGAGCATAATGAGATCCTGGACATACCCCTTGTCTGAGTCCAGCATATGTGTCACCAAATACATGGAGGGGTCCCGAACCTGAAGATAATATCTGCCCCCACTAACTAATTTCAAGTCATAGCAGAATAGAATCTCATCCACCTCCAGGTTCACCCCCAGTTGAGCATTTATGACAACTACATCCACGACTATTCTGAAAAGGATGATATAACACTAAAGGAGGAAGAGTCTCAAATGCATGAGTACTTTTAATAGGAAGGGGGGAGAGGGAACCTAACTCCCCATCCCCATGATGGCCTTGGATTGGAAAGGTATGAGTTCCACACTACCTATATCAGACCTGTGGAGCCTAGAGTCGAAAACAAAAGTGAAAACGAGCTCGGGAATGTTGTACTTAGCCCTAAATGCCTGCAGGTTGCTCTCTTTCACTTGAGTTTTCCTCAACCTACCAGTGTCACTAGACCTAGTAGGTTCCCTTACTACTGTTCTTCGTATTCTGGTTGTGGATGAGTTTTGAAGAAATGTAGAAAAAGAATGGGAAAATGAAGAAGAGATTGTGGGAAAGAAATTACTTACAGGTGGAAGATCTTCGAAAGAGGTGCTCAGGGGAGTAAGGACAGTTGCTCAGGAGTTGATTGCAGATTGAGAATTTGAGGATTTAAAGTCTACAATCAGCCAAACAATCTCTTATATATACTCTGCAGCAGGGGCGAGAATCGAAGAAACAAATCATCAAGTGCAAATTTGAAAAATATGGCGCCAGACGTGTGAGTAACCGCCCTTAAAATGCAGGCGTGCTCAAGAAGCCTCCATTCTCCATGCGCCACTTGTCCCATGACGCAAGAAAAATGGGGGCTAGAGGGTAATTGGCAGCACTTTAGGTGGCTCAGCAACCACAAGTTGACACGTGGACAGTTATAACCATTATAGACCTCAAAGGGTGCCAGGATAAGGAGCCGAGAAGTTATGACCCAGAAGAACCGAGTATACACTGATTAAGCCCAACATTAAAGAGGATATAACTGTTCATTAATGACGATTTGAGTAACTATGACAAGGCTATTAATGAACATTTGTGTCCTCGAGACCCATAGAGCCAATCATCATTGGAAAGCATTAATTGCCATTGCGCCCATCATTTATCCTTAGCAAGACCCGAGGTGCTTATTCTTGAGCAGTTAATACTCAGGCATAGGTGTCAAGCATCGAGATGTGACTCACATACCCCTTAAATCATTATTAGTTCAGGTATAAATACCCCTGAGAAAGTTGAACAAAGGTACTCAAAAAAAAAATATCAGAAAATACATTGTGCTCATGTCTCCAATACGACTAACTTAAGTTTTGGAGGAGATTAGCCGGGTGTTCACCTGGCTCCTTTTCTAACCTTTTGATTTTTTTAGGTTCATTATCCAATGGGTCGTTATCTCTATTCATCGCATGAATTCTCCTGTGCATGTATATATAACATCAACTACAAAAAAATTATAGCATAATAATCTCACTCCGATGCTTGACTAAGTGAAGATTTTGGTTAAAATAATTGTAATGAAATAAGGTACCCTATGTGAATTATTAGGAAAAGTTCATTGCAAATTAAGCCAATCCAATCATCCGAGAAGTACGATTCAATCAAAAGTTTATGCATTGTTCTCAGATCGAATATGAAGACATGATTATGTATCAAGGCCCCTTGCGTGGGTAATGAGTTTATTACATGAACCATCAGCTTTAAAATTCTTGGGTTTAGGTTCATATTTAGCTATTATTTGCTTGTAATCTGTGTGATATTGCAAGGAAGTTCACTGAGGCGGCGAAGTTTGTGTGAATAAAATACAGAAAAACGGATGATTTTGATATTAAATAACATGAGAAAAACGAAGTTGCCGTTCCGAGTTATAAAACAGAGATTTCTGTGTATCTTATAACCTAGACAGCAGGAAAAATCCGTAATATTTCCATGATTCACGATAGAAACAAGGAAGATCTTCGTAATATTTCTAATATAGCCACGTGCTTTTTCTTGGTTTTGTTGTAACTTTTGCAACTTAAAGTAAAAATCACTCGTGCTTCACCATCACTAATTTGGTGGTTCAGTGATGGTTGAATTGAAAGAAGTGCACATTTTCAAAGCATTGCTCCTTGTGACATTGACGGATGTGCTCGTTAGGTCAGTGGTCGATGGAAACTTGTTTGCAAGAAAGAAAAAAAAAGGGATATGGTGATGACTAGATAAAAGACATTCAAGTTGAGGCCCAATAGTTCCTTCAGATGAAATGATATTTAAATACTTTTGAGGTAAGTTACCGCCAGTATACAGTGCAGACGCAGTGAGATAGTTCAATTTATTGTGATTAAGATACATGCCTTAAAATTAACACAAAATTCAATCTTCTGTGACAAAGAAAACGACCATGAGTTGGGGTTTTTATCTTTTGGTAATTAGTCTCCTCATCCTCTTCGGCAGCTTGTTTACATGGGCCGTGTGGTTCTACCAATAGCCCTGCCACAGAGTAAGGCATTCTTTGGAATGGGGTATTCATCCCTTATTGATTGAACAGGTGTATAAACTCGCAAGTATAATTGTTGTCCAAGGTATTGCCGTGCCCAAAACTCAGTTCTCAGGTTCCACATTCCCACGTTATCAAGTGCTATGTACACTGCAGTCCATGACTGGGGATAAACCTGCAACAATATCAACAATAAGTTCCATTCTCTTCTGTTTTTCCTTTTGCCATAAGCACAGGGAAGCTAGGTAAGAATGTTCTCAGAGGGAAGCATCTAACCTGTGTGGTGCAACGTGAAACTGCATCTCTAAGATTGTACTGTTTTCTACTAGCAGGAGTCCACAAGCCTCTATCCATTCTGCAATATAGAAATATTCTTTCTCACTTTAGGACATCTGTGTGCAAGAGCCTGTTTGAACTATGGTTGTAATTGAAATTCCTAGCCTAGAGGCTAGAAATGGTGTAATAAATCAGCTTAAACCCACCCCCACCCGAAAACAGGAGAGGCATGTAAATGGCAGTTTCAAATTTAGCACTTTTATATGTAGGCCTTAATATTGGAAGTTGGACTAATCATGAAAAATGCAGTGTAAGATTGGTGTCAACTTGCTCTTACCCGACCACAAAGAAAGAATATCCATCAAGGTGCCAGCTCTGAATGATGCTCTCATGGTTCACAAACACAATCTCAACAAATGATCTGTAGTCAGCTCCCAAGACAGATGTGTCAAGGTGAATTCGTTGACCCGTGGCCTTATCAGGGATGCTTCCAACACGGAAAACTCCTCCAATTTTGAAATAGTCCGCAAGCTTGAGTGGTGTGTCAGCTGGGGTAAAGGATACACTGTTTACTGCATATCGTTGTTTGCTGTTAACTTGACCTGCTGAATTAGCTAGTTTTATGCTTCTGGTGATGTTGATGAGACCATAGTGGTAAGAGCCTTGAGGGTTTGGTCTAGGTCCACTTGCAGTGAGGTTAGTCCTGAAGAGCACAGAAAGAGGTAGTTTACTTAAATTGATGGACCAAAAAACAAAAATCAGAAGCCTTGTTGTTATCTAGATGCATCATATTTTGAGCATTTTTTACACGGATAGAGAATTTAATTTCTGTCCTGTCATACAAAACTGTCCATTAAATGTGCTGCAAGTATAAAGGACACAATCGAGTTTGTGCCTGTTGAGTTGAGCACAGCTGTTAGAACAAAATTAGAGCAACTGGATACAAAACTACCTGATGGAACGAGCCTGATTCAGTGACCAGGCAATGTCGTTTGGGGGTCCATTGGGGGGATGCCCAGACACTGGCTTGTTGGAGTATCTGTAGTGAAGAATAGCAGTGGTGTTCAGAACCTGGCTGGAGAAGTGAGTGGAAACTGCAATATAGTAGTCCTGAGCAGGCCGATCTGCAGTAACTAAAAAAGAGCAGGATTGACCAGCATGGATATCCAAAGAAGAAAATGTGGTTTGAACAGTGTGAGTCCCTTCGACTTCAACCAATTTCATCTTGTGGCCCTGAATGCGAAAGTTGAGTGTATTTTGCAGTCCCACATTTGATACTCTAAACCTGTAAGTCTTTCCTGCAAAACCAAATGAGAATTTTCATTACCACCTTCACTGGGACGATATGGAGGTTTTTTTAGATATTTGTTACTGTAGCTACCTTTTTCAACTGTGAAAGATGCACCATTTGGTCCACGACCATTGATCAAAATGCCATCAGGGAATTTTAGTTTCTTACCGCGATCTAAAATTGTCTTCAATATCTGCAAAATAGTTTCTATCATGCACGGAAGTCTAATCTTGATGTGAAAATGTAAGCACAGGTGGCTGTAATCAACTTTTCCTTCATCAATGCGGTAGCGTTTTATGATGCATTTTGGTGGTTTATTTACCTTGTGATTTGTTTTGTACCAATCTCCAATAAGAACAGTGAAATCGCCTGCAGGTTCAGGGAATGGAACAGGAATGAGAGGCCTGCTGAGGATCCTAATACCCCCAAAGCCGCCTGCTGCTTTGTGGAAGGCAAGAGATGGGAAATAAAAGAAGCTGCCAATTTGATCTTTGACCTGCAAAATGTAAGTGAAGTTCTTGCCAGGAGGGATGGGGCATGTGGTTCCATAAACTCCATCTTGATACGAATTTCTCCTCTGTTGAATCCCACTCCTGTATTGATGGCATAAAAATATCCATCTATTAACAATCTATTGAAATACACATACGAATGGACATAGTGTTATCATAGCTCAAGCGACAAAGTTGTATATCCTACATTTCTTTTTTTCTTTAAAAATCTCAAGATGTGGGGGTTGCTAGGATGTGGAAATCTTCCAATTTTTATTTGCTCCTTACTATATGTACTTTTTATTTTCCGTTACGTTCGGTACTACTTTTCAAAGGTTTAATTTTAGACAAATATTTTTTCAAAACTGAGATATGTATGTATTGATTACACATACATAAGTATGTATATACAAATATGAATAAACTGGGTCCAACTAAGAAAAAGACAATAATAAAATTATGAATATTCAATAAGCCTCTTTAAAAAAAGGTGTGCGTCAAAAGTCAGTATATTACAATTATATCTTCCGTTAAAGCTTGCATCTTTGGTTTGTTTTAGAAACCTTCAGATATCCTATCATGTGTGTGTGTGTTTGAGAGAGAAATGACCAACCATGAGAGGAGAAACGGCTCCGGCAAGTTGTTATGCACATTGATAATGAGGTTGTCGTTGGTTACGGAATATATGTCAGGACCAGGAAATTGGCCATTAATAAGAATTCCCTGCAGTGCACCCAAGATTAATAAATTAATCTTTCAATACCAGTATAGTAACATGGGGGGTCAAGTTTAATTTTAGCCTTTCAAGTTGTCAATGAGTTTATGATGATAGAGTTTATATTGGTGCGCTATGTGTGTGCATGCACAAAGCACAATACATATGGAATATGGTGTACAGACCTGTTGGCGAACACCCAGAGGATAAATATCACCGTAGGTGATTTTCCAAGTGAAGAACCTGTAAGGATCCTCAGCACCAACAATGGTAATAAGAGCAACAACGCCACAGAGATACCACATACCACCTCCCCCCATATTTGGCAGCATCATTACAACCGGTGATCGACCGACCGACCGACCGACGTTGGAGAGAAAGAGAAAGAGAAAGAGAAAGAGAAGGAGAGAGAGAAAGAGGGCGGAGGGTGATGATGGTCTTTAACTAGACTTTTTAAATAATGAAGACGGGGATACAAACGGGACACAACTTTAAATATGTGTGCAAGTGATGAACTGGTAACAGATTGGCATATCATTTACATGGTTTTTAGTCATCAAGCACATATGAACCAAAAAGCCGCCGAGTAAGAGCTGTGCCGTTGAGACTGCCCTCTTAACTCTTTGCGTAGTGGGTGGGGTACTCTACTCCAAAGAGGTGGTGAATGGGACCTACACGTTAGCAGTATTCTTAGCTCATACTTGGGGTAAGCCTCCATTTTTCCATTGGTCAAAATATACATTTGGATATCGTAACACTAACACCCTGTAAAATACAAGGTAGAGGAAAACAAAAATTCCTCATAAAACGCGTAGAGGGGGTTTTGGTTTTGGAAGTGTCTTTTTCTTTTTGTTGGAAAATTGACATGTCCGTGATTATTGACGCGACACACGGAATGTCCATGTTCTATGTAATAGTAATACTACTGCCAACCCTACCATTGCCTTTTACAGTTTTCTGTTTTTCTCTTGATCACACTGCTGACCTGAAAAAGGTAGAAGAAGGTTCTCAATCAGACGGTTGTTTTCTTTGGGGCCCACTGCAAAATAGATGGAGAGGATGGAAAATAACCCCCCAATTCCAAAGTCTAATAAAGATTAAATTGCAATAAAATATATGATGTATTGAGCGAGCGAGATACGCGGTTTATTACATTCGGAGTAAGTAACATATGCTAGCTGTTGGTATGATAGATTTCTTGACTTTCTTTGTTTCCTCAACTTGCCTTAATGTAACACTTCTGGATTCTATTGGATTTCCTGTCAACACATTTTCTTTGTTTTTTTAAGTATAATATCATTTATCATGCCTTAATTGCTATTTAGAATTTCATGGCAGCAGTATGGTGGGATTTTTCTGTCATCTTAAGTTTAAGTGAGAGTAAGTTTTTCATAAATATGGCATGTTCAAATATTAGATGGTTGATGATTAGTAGTTGACCTAATAAACACTGCAACTCAACATTGGACCGGTAGGTCGTGGTTTCGAACCTTACTGTCCCTCTTCTTTAAAAATTCAAAAATGGTGATCCAAAAAACAAAAAAAAAAAAATTAGATGATCTATAAGGCCGCCTAGGGCCCCCACTCCTCTAGGTCCTATATAATTGTCAAACCTATCCATTGGTAACAGGTTTTGGGGCCCCAGCTACGGTGGCCTCGAGAATTATTGGGTCGATTTTATCTATAAATGATATATTATTGAGTAAAATTAAAATAAAGTATATTGAAAAAGAAGTTATATTTGTATGTTGGACCACATCAATTACAAGAGATGGATTGATGTCAACCAGAATATCAATGAAGGCACAATCTAAGAATTAGCAAGGGAAATTTGTGTGGCCATTATTGACATGCATGTTGATGTTGCCTTCTGACATGTCTTCTTTCCATATTTATGTTGATCCTGATTTGATCAAGAAGTTTGAGAAAGCTGATGAGAAGGGGAGGCAAAGTGTTACCAACGTGGTTTTTTGGGCCCGCCCCGTAAATGAAGGAAATTGGTGTAGAGTTTATTGATTTTCACAAAAACGTGTTCCATTTTAAAATATGGCGGTGTGTTAATGTTTTGATTTGGTTTCTTAATCTGGTTAATTCATTCAATAATCATATACTATTAAAGATATTGTGGCGTTAAATGAGAGATTGCATTTTAAGGTTTTATAAACCGGTTTGTTGCATCCTAAAGGATTGTCCAGACCTTTTGCTTCAAAATGGACTTTGGTCCAAAATATTTTCCTTGGTGAACTTTTAACCTAAGAAGTTCTATTAAGTGTACCAACTTTCGTTTTTTTGTTTATTCATTTTAATCCGATGGCAAAAGTCACAAACTTTTCTCCTTGTTTTCAAAATAGTGCTTGACAATGGGGAATCTTGTTGGGCCGATCAAACGGCAGTAATTTTGATTGGAAATGAAAATCCCATTCTTAAAATCTATATTACCATTTTTTAATAATCAATTATCTAGTAATCTAACTCGAGAATAAAATTACTATCATAATCCAATTCTCAATAATGATTGGGATCCTAAAACCATGGCCAATTATGGTAATCTCATACCTACATTGATTGGGTATTCTATAAAAAGAATAAGAATCTATATAATAAAGTATAAAATAATTCAAATCTCAAAAATAAACAAAATGACTTTTACTATTCACGGTTGAAATCGCTTTAAATTTTACTTTAAAGTTAATCTAATAACTAATATTAACACCCCAAATTTAACAGAAAAAATAGGCTATAAAAGGTGTGTTTTGAATGACTTTTTAAAAGTATTTTTATGAATTATTTTTCATAAGTACTTTAAAAAAAAAATTGTATTTGAAATCGCCTCACCACTATCTCTATCACCACTACTCCCACTACTCCACTACCTTTACCACTACCACCATCCCTACCCCCCACCCTCACCACCATCACTGTCGTCGTCGCCACCATTACTATCGCCACTCCTACCATACCCACCACCCCATCACCACTTTCATTGCCCCACCACCACCGCCCATCACTACTACCACCACCACACCACTATCATTACTATTACTACCACTATTACCATCACCACCATTACCATTCCATCACTAGCATCACTTCCACCGTCTCACCACTACCATCCCCACCACCACCGTTGCTGCACCCCTACCATCTACCCAACCATCACCCCTACCACCCCCACTATCCCACCACCACCCCCATGACCATCAAAACTACCCCACCACCACCAACCCACCATGGCCACTGCCCTACCTCCACCCCGACCTCACCCCTCACTGCCCCCACTATTACCACCATCGACATCCACTACCAATTTCTATCATCGTCGTCCATGGCCACCACCTACCACCATTGTCATCTTATTTTTATATTTATTATCATTATTATCATCATCTCACTACTACCGTCGCCCATCATCAGAACTCACCACCACCCCATCGTCCCCTACCATCGCCACCCGTCACTGTCACTTACCCCACCACACCTTCCACCACCAACCACCATCATTTGTTATCGCCCACTACTGTAGCTACCCACTATCACTTACCTCAACCACACTCACCACCACCACCCATCACAATGTCGCCTAAAAGCACTCATCATCATCACAACCCACTACCATCGTCATCGTCCCGCCACCACCATTACCATCGTCCACCACCACCCACACCCACCACCACTACCGTTGCCACCCAAGGCTATCACTATCATCATCGTCACTCAAAACCCACTACCATTATCACTATTGCCACCCACGACTGCTACCATCACTACGGTCATTACCTTACCTACCACAACCATTACAGTTGTCGCCCACCACCACTATTACTGTTCACCCCTATTACAACCGTTGTTTAAATTTTTTTATTTCTCCTATACGTTTGTGATTTAATTTTAAGTGTGAATATAAATATATTAACTTTTTTTTTTATTACTGTGTGCCTTCAGACACAAAAAATAACTAGTCTCAAAATAAAATTCCTTTCTAAAATTAATTTCATTTTAAAAATTATGTTCTCTTCATAAAATCAATATCGTTTTTAAAATTAAGTTTTTTCCTAAAAAATTTAGTAATGACATTAATTTCCATACTATATTTACTGATTATAACTAAATACTAAATGTGAGATTAATATGATAATGCAAATCAGGGTATCTTATTACTAAGAATGAGTTACTCATTTATAATTAAGATTATTACTATCATTCAAACGTGCGTTTTATAATCTTTTTCCTTGCTTTTTATTTTTCAATATTCTCTGGTGTCCTGTTTGGTTTGTAGGTTTGGGTTATGGAAAATAAGGCCAACGAAACCGCTTTTTACATTGTTTGGTTCTATCTTTCAGGGTTTTGAGATAATGGCTTCCATATCCGAGGCCCAATCTAAACTTTTAAATGAAACCCACATATATGGGCTTCAGGAAATCCAATGGGTGGGGTGGGGTGGGGTGGGGTGGTTATGAAAGACATCCATCCTACACCACTCTACGCTCTCATTTGTTCGGTCGGTGCAAACAAGAAGAGGAAGAGGAGGAGGAGGAGGAAAACTTCCAAATCAGGGGCATGTTAATAAAATTGACCATGGATCAAAAATTAAATATAACGATGATATTACATCATTATCGGCACATCATGTTGTTATCAGTCAATCCAAACTTAATAAATGAATAAAGTAGACCCCACCTTTTAGCATAGATAATTAAGATATTAAATGAATAAAGTAGTTATTAAATTACATAAATTTTGTTTGTTCAATGTCACCGCGTGACCGTGTTAATATAGTGTTACCATTGCAATAAATATTTTCTCCACCGACATCTACATCCATTGTAAATTCGAGATAGGAAATTCCCATCCTATCTGATGCCCTCCTGCGAACCAAAATAAAAAAATGCAGTCTTTCTATGACAGCTCTATTCAATTTCTTCTTGGTTTTTTTTTTTTTCAGTATTCTGAAAATTAGTTTAGTTAATTATTGAAAAGGCTTAAAATGCTTGCGAAAGTGCGAACAATTGGATTCCAGTATAATTTTGCAGAGTAACAAACAATCCTTCTGTTGTAAATGACCCGTGGGCTACACTTACACATGGCACTTGGGCTCTAAAGTTCTGGATCATGCCCATTTATCCTCACCCTTACCTGACACGTTTGGGCCATCTAGAAATTATCATGATACCATATCTTCAAATTAAATATCTTTATCAAAAATCTCATGTGCCCACAAGCCACAAAGAGAATTCAGTCCCTAAATTATTCTTAAAATCGAAATGAAATAGAACATAAGGGTCAAAGAAAGTGGTAATAAAATGGCAATGCACAACTAGTGCCCCGTGACTTTGAAAGTCGGAAACAAAATAGAAAGTAAAAAGCGTGAACCATACGCATCGAATAGATAGTTACTGGCTAGGTAGGGTAGGAGATAGATGCTCTATGGTGCACCGGATTGCCCCCACAGAAATTTGATAACACATCAGTGGGAAGCAGTGCATAGCAGATACTGATCCGTCGCATTCAAATATGGAAATCAAAGGAAACCAAACCATTTCAGAATCCGAATACCGCGTCTCGTGAGCGTCACTTTAAAAAACCCTCCTCCCTCTCTCCCTCCTACTGCAATCTTTGCAGTCTTTCCAACTTCGCTTTCACCCTCCTTTTCCAACCCCCCAAAACCCTAATAAATCTCTCTCTCTCTGTTATCTATGTGTTCATACGGCGTACATGTTATTTTGTAGCAGTCGAGTTTCTTCGTAGAAAAACGAACTAATTAATCGATGGGTGTGACAATGCATGTCAAATCGGACTCGGACGTGACGAGCATAGACGCATCATCTCCACCAAGATCGCCGCGGAGGCCACTGTACTACGTGCAGAGTCCATCACAGCATGATTTAGAGAAGATGTCATATGGGTCCAGCCCATTTGGATCGCCTCATCACTACCATTGTTCTCCCATTCACCACTCACGTGAGTCGTCCACCTCACGTTTCTCTGCCTCCCTCAAGAACACCGCTAGAAACCCTCCGGCGTGGAAGAGGATAAACAGAAGCCATGAGGAGGACGGCGATGAAGAGGAGGACGATGACGGAGATGGTGAAGAGTCGGCGAGTCACGTGAGGTTCTATGTGTTGTGTTTTGTGTTCTCGTTTGTGGTGCTGTTTACCATCTTTTCGTTTATTCTTTGGGCTGCCCATGTTCCCTACAAGCCCAAAATCTTTGTCAAGGTGAGTTTTGGCTTCTTGGTTTTCACAACATTTGCTGTGTGTTTTTCCCACTAGGAAACTCTCCGAGTCAACTCAGTATTTGTTTGTGCGTCCTCGTAATGTTTGGGGCCATAAAGGCCCAAAGCTAAAGGCTTTTGTCAATTTGTCTTCTTTCCCTGAATCGGTTATCTGCGAGTCGAACCAGTAGCTTTGTCACGTGACGTGGGAATTACGCTACCTTGGTTTGGTTAAGGATTACCGTAATTCAAGATGGGTTGACCACAAGGATGCACAACAACAAATCTTTGTCTCTGTAAGCCGAGCCACCTCGATGATTAAAAAATAATAAAACCCGAGCCAACTCAGTGACTCAGTCACGTGACTTATTGGAGCACACACAGCTGGGGAATTGAGGATTTCTATGCGGGATCTTTAGTTTGGTTGGATAATTACTCCTAGTAGAACGATAATGCTCTTGTCAGATTTTTTTAATTGGACTAGTGCTTTGATGGTATGCTATGCAGAACATGGTGTTCGAGAGCTTTATTGTACAAGCAGGAATGGATAGAACAGGAGTACCAACGGATATGTTGACTTTAAATTCGACGGTGAAGATTTTTTATCGCAATCCTGCCACATTCTTCGGTGTTCATGTCACAGCTACTCCTCTTGAGCTTTACTACTATGAGCTCAAGGTTGCCTCTGGCCGTGTAAGTTACAGTTTTAAACTTTTTGTGTTCCTGTTCCTCTATTTCATTTCATAAGGCTCTATTTTTTAGTTTGTGACCTATATCATTGCTATTCCAAGCCTTTATTATTGGTAAATATGACGCAAAAGATTGATTGGTCAGTATTTGATGGGTTAATAAAAGATCATGTACTAGGATTTTTCTCTAATAGTCTTGGATTAAACATGTAAAGGAAATAGTCTTTTTTTTTTTTTGAACATGTAAAAGAAATGTAAGTCTACTGTGGATATATAAAAGGGCGAGTTGGTAGTATTCTAGGATTGATACTACATGTGAGCAGAGCATGGACCATATTATCGTATTGGGTAGTGTGATTTCAAAGGCTTGTGAGGATTACTGGGGCCTACTTGACTGCATGCTACTTGTCTCGTACACATTGGTAGACAAATATGAAGGCAGCTTAACTTTATGCAGGGTGTTTGGTTGGCGTATTGGTTGTCAAGTTTCCTTAAATTGGTCAAACCTCCAGTATGAAATGATGGAAATTCATCATGGGAATCTGATACATATGTTTGGTTGGTTGTATTCAAATTCATATAATCCAGCTTGGTGCATTTTTTGTCAGCAAAATCAAGATAATATTAGGTTACAGTAATACCCTTTTTGAGTTTCAATGAAACTATGCAACACTCTAAAGTCTAAAACTTTGAGATATCTACTAATATTCCCCTTTCAAATATCCTATTTCTTTCTTCCCGGTCTAGGCTTCTCTCATGCACACAAATCACTTACCTAGTCTTAATTTTTATATAATACCAAAAACTAATCTTTAGGTAGCATAAGGGGGATTGTGTGTTTCTCTACCCTTGGAATGTAACACGATAACATTATCTGTAGTGAAATTATCCAGCTGTTATGGTAGTGAAAAATCTGGAATTCTCTCTCTTCTTTGTAGAATAAGATTGTTATATTCTATGTTCGTTTGAATGGCCAAACACTTTAAGCTGGACCCCAAAGATTCTTGCGGTGCCTTACTTCCTTATTTTTGTCTGTTTTTCAAAATTTGTTTCTTTCTTGGAGCTACACATAATATTCAAAATGCACCATGTTATCCCTCTCGAAAAGCCATGGCCTTCAGGAAAAAAGCGCTTATTCCAACAGGATAGGATTAATCTTGTTCTGTTCTTTCCTTATAATCTCCTTGCATCTCAATATATAATCTAATATAGATCTTCTTCTTTTTTTTTTGGTTGATCACCGAATTACCCAGATAAAAAAATTCTACCAGTCGAGGAAGAGTCAGAGGACAATAATAGCAGTGGTTCTTGCAGATCAGGTGCCACTGTATGGCGGAGTGCCGGTCCTCAGTGGTGCCCAAGGTCACCTTGAGAGTGCATCAGTTCCACTTAACCTGACTTTTGTGATGAGGTCAAGGGCCTACATCCTTGGGAGGCTGGTGAAGCCCAAGTTCTACAGAAGCATTACATGTGAAGTCACTCTAAAAGGCAACCGACTAGGCAAGCCCATGAATTTGACCAATTCTTGCGTTTATCACTTTAAATGATTCACTTCCTTTTGGATACTTGAAAACAAATTTAGGCATCCTTTGAAGGGCATAGTAACCATGTTAGGTTTTGTGACTTTTGATTTAGTTGCAGGCATTTGCATAAATTTCAGGTGCCCATTAATGCATTTGATATAATCGGAAACATGAACTCTTTGCATCTTAGCTGTGTCTAATCATATGTACTTTTGTTGATATGCAGCGTAGTTCCTATATAAGTAATTGAATTGTGCAGACATTTTGTCAAAATGGGATTTTTTGAGTGTTCTTTTGTCTGAAATAATACCAATCTAGTAGAAATTCTGGCCTGTGCATGAGCTCTATTTTCTGTCAAAAGAAGGTTGATGTGAGTACCACCATTAAAACACTCGGCCAAACAACTTCCATTTGTGTAATATTGGCAACGTATATTCCTAAAGTTGTCTGCTGCTGGGTTTTATCACTTTCACATAATTATTTTTTTTTTGGGGTGGAGGAGGAGTAATTTCTCCACCAAGACATTTGGTTTGTTAACATAAACTAGTGGGTGTTGATGATTTAACCCACTTTGTTAGACATTTGTGTTTGTAATGAATTATTGTTTTGCACGTTTACATATGTGACTTACTCTATGGCATAGGTGCACAACGCGAGTAAGAAAGAGGATTCCATGAAAGGATCTACGGTTATTGATCTATTTCAATGGGTATGTTGGAAAAATATATACTTACTCTGTATGTCAACCAAAAGAATATAACCTTGTAAAGAAATCAAAAAAATATATAGTATAGGGGAGGTTACTAGCTCTCTCCTTTTCAATTGTAGCACTTTAATTTCTTTGTGAATTTTCGTTAGAGAAGATGATAACTTGCATGATGGTTCACTTCTACTTTATTGGCTTGAAGAAGTTGGCATCTAAGCCTTTGACAACTAAACTCCACACTGCTGCAACAACTACCGAAATACTCAATACTATGCCTAAACAACCTAGCACCAAGTTAAGCCACCACATCGTACCATTTTTGTGGGGTTTCTTGATCGCGATCCACATGAAACATGGATAAGCAAATGTCAGAGGTAACATGATCCCTCCAATGAGAGCTGCCAGGCTTCCCAAGAAAGGCAGGGCCACTGATATAAAGAAAGTCAATCCTCCAAAGAAGACTCGAAAACCTAAGCGTAACCATCTCGGGCACCTCCTCTTTTTCCTGCTGATGTAAATGGATTCCAAGTTGTCCAAGATTGGCATGGCAAAAATTTGGAACGTGCATAAGCAGTTGATCAATATTATCATGTAGATCAAACCTATCACAAATCTCGGGGTGTTGTGTCCATGAAACATTGAAAATGCACTCAAGATTCCTCCAACAGCTATCTGGCATGGGTCAAGCCACAACATCAACATCCAAGGCAATTCATATTAGCTTTTGCAAATGGCCACTTACTATAGTATGAATCTTGGGAGAAAATAAAATTCAAATTTATGCAAGTGTATGGTACCATGTTACCATAAGCCCAATATCCACCTATTGCAAGGGGAAATAAACACATTGGGATGAATAGATATGAGATTGTCACTGCTCTCAACATTGGCTCATGACTTGGATGTATTGCACTTGAAGGCATAGTCCCCTGCATCAATAAGTTATCTAGTGAAGAAATGGACATCTTTACATTGCTGAAATTGTCATAGGCTCTATGAGCCTCAAAGTTCTATCCAGTTTTCTAGAATTTGAAATTTTTGATAGACAAAAGAAAGATATTGTCTTGGTTCTCTTTAGTGTGTTTCAATTTTAAATTCTCTGACGGACAAAAATTTTTGGGTAGTTCAATTGAGTGCAAAAAGTTTGGCCAACCGACAGAATTGGGTGGCGCACCTTTTGGTTGCACTAACATGGAGTCAATTTAAGAATCCTTGAAGAAAGCGTGCCACCAAAGTCGTTTCAAATGTTCAGAAAGTGACACGAGCCCAAAGAGTTTATGAAAATTTTGGTATTTAATGATGCATCTCATATTTGGAACATTCACCTGAATCTCAAGGACAAGGTTATGACCTCTGAAAGCAAGAGCAATGATCCCAATCGCATTCAATATGCTCCGAATTCTATCCATTTCTGATGCTGCCTCCTCAGATGGCTCATAAGATACACCGTCAGGCTTACCCTTGGAGATAGAGAGAACCCATATTATTGTGCAGTATCCAACAGCAGTGATTGCGCCGATGAGTGAGACACCAACCAAGGAATTCAAGTTTGGACAGAATAAAGCCACAAATATGGCCAAAAATATGAAAACCAAGTACCACTCTGCACCACTTAATGTCTTGGCACTGCATGTGCCCTCTTTCCCACACATGACTTGATAGAAATGTTCCATGGTTCCTCCTCCGGTGATTATCAGCATCGCACATGTGGCCCCTGATAAATACATTACCGGGAATATGCCAAGAAATTTCCCCAATTTTCGACCTGAAATGATCAACACATTATAGCATTCGTTTCCACACATATACGTACCACTGCACTTGGTCCAAAAGGATCACAAAGTTGATTCTTTCATATTATGAGAAAATGCCAGAGAAAAAGAAAAAAGGAAGAAAGTGAATAAAGCATTGGGCCATTCTAATGATTTATCAAGGAGGATTGTAATAACCAAAGGCTGCTATGGATAGGTGGAGGTATCTGCTGAAGCGTGTTCCTGGGACTGATTCGTGAAGATGGACAAGAAGCCATATGGTGTAGAGCTGCCATAGAAATGCCATAGACAAGCACAGGATACCCCAAAACCTGCGAGATGCAAACAACAAATGTTTCACCCTAAGATTTGAATAAAAAGGTGGATTTGGATTAGTTAAGGGATATTGTCCCAAGAAGGTTACAAGTTTAGTTTTTTTTTTTTTTTTTTGACGAAGACAATATTCTTGGAGCAAGAACCAGGTGTCTAATTAACCACCCATCAACTGCATACCCAATTCTCACTTGAACAGTAATGATTGGATATAAATATACTTCAATGTACGGGCAGCACCGGAAAGAATAAATAAAAATTATCTAATTACCATCCAAGAGCGACGAATGCGACGGGAAGTACAAGGGCTTGAATTCCGATCCCGGAACATAGTAGATGAAATGCTGAGGTGAAGGCATTGCCCTTTCTGGACTCGGTGATAGGAAGCCAAGCATCTTGTGGGTTGGGCTCTCCTTCTTCCTCTCTCTCTCCCTCTCCCTCTCTGTCATGTTCTGAACCACCTTCCGAGTAGCTCTGCCTCTGCTCATGCATGCTTGTGGAATTATTATTGTCTCCGTTCAATGGGCGCACTTGGACTGCTGTGATTATTTGCAGGGACTGTTTTTGGCTTTTGGCAATAGCAGAGGTTTGGTGGTGGTGGTGGTGGTGGTTAATTCTTCCCATTACTGTTGATGTTGGTGGCCCTGCAAATACTTCAGCCACCTCTTCCATGGCTCCTCTCTCTTTCTCTCTCCCTTGTTCCCCTCTTCTCTCCTTTCTCTCGGTAAATGATGGTCATTTAAGCAGTGTGATGTTTGTCTAATAAAATACCCTTGCGGCAGACTTTTTTTTTTTTCTAAAAAAAGAAAGTCAGAAAGCCATGGAAGCAGAAAGGATATTATAATGCAATCGGTTTAATCTATTGCCTGCTATGAAGTGGTGGTTGAAAACCTAACCATTTGTTTTAAGTGGATCATGTGATTGGACTAGAATTATATAATTAAACATGAATGGAACGTTGTGTCACACCTCCACCCCAGATCACGTAAGGTGGGCGGCGGATGAGAGTTTAACTAATCAATTATGTGCATAATAAATATAAAATACAACGGAAGACAAATAATAAAGTGATTCATTCCACCGACTTAATGAATACCAAATGAATAAACTAAACACCACTAATATCATTACTAAACGTAAAACAATAATTAAACTATAAAGTTCACTATTCTAAATATAAGCAGTATTGTTCCCATAACAATTAAACATTTGTTTCAAAACTATAAAAGACATTTATTCTCGAAGACTTACGATAAAATAAATTTTTAATTTTTCTAATTCCTTGTCTATCCGAGGACTTACTCCTCACCCTTATCCTCACCTGAAAAATGTTAAATATTTGGATGAGCACAATAACCCGTGAATAACAACCACCTTTAATGAGGTATGAAAATAAATATCACAGTTTATATACAAAAATAAACTTGATACATACATAAATACAACAAATTATACCACAATCTCTCTCGCATAATCATTTAAACAAAATAATCTCATGATCACAAATAACTTTATAAATGAAAAGACATTTATAACCCAAAACACCACTCATTTTTACAATTAACTTTATAAATGAAAAGACATTTATAATCTAAAACGCTCACACACACATTCAGTTTCAAATACATTTGTCAAATCATGTTTGTTACCACTAGTCTGGTAACTGACTCAGTCTCTTGTTACCATTAGCCTAGTAACTGGCTCAGTCTCTTGTCATCACTAGTCTGGTAACTGACATAATCTCTTGTTACCACTTAGACCTAGTAACCTCAGTCCTCATCTCATAAATATGATTTTCACACACACTAAAACTGTAGGTTTAGTCCTAACGCACACAAAATTTACCTTTCATCACCAAAGCAATGATATAAAATCATTCCACAAATTTTTCAAAATTCACATGTAGAACAGTTCACAATTTCAAAACATTTAATTGCAACCCAAAATATCAACACATATATCATATATATGAAAAATCCACAGGCACGCACCCACACATTTAATATAGAAAATTCTCCCAAAAAAAGTAGTAACTACTCACCTTGATTCTCAAAATTCAATTCAAATCCCTCTTTCTCAGCCTCAATGCAATTACCATCAAATCCAAAATAATATATAGCGATCAATTGCTATTCTTAACTTTGTCGTTTCACGATTTTATATTTAATTTACGTACTTCCTACCTATTGATATATATTTAATATATCCTTTACATATAAATATTATTTCTAATATGAGGTAATAGGGTATAGAAGTATTCTAAACTGTTTAGAAAAAGTTTCTAAAGTTTTGGGATCAAATCATAATTTTTAAAACTTTTGGGGTCAAAATATAATTTTTTTGAAAAATGAATTTTCTATTTTCGGAACTGCCATAAATTTTTTA